GCGCCCGGCCTAATTTTTTATATTTTTGGTAGAGATGGGGTTTCTCCATGTTGGTTAGGCTGGTCTCGAACTCCCAACCTCAGGTGATCCACCCACCTTGGCTTCCCAAAGTGCTGGGATTACAGGTGTGAACCATTGTACCTGGCCAAGACACAGAATTTTAAATGAACTCAGCGCTCCATACACCCCTGCAGAGTGAGGGAGTCAGTGACCCTCCATGACCTGATGAGCACTGGCCACATGGTAAATGCTTGTGGCTGTTCACAGGTCCTGTGTTGAGTTTTTGAAAGGAGCTGTGCCTGGTCTCTCCTGAGGCTGTCTGGCAGGAGTTTGTGCTGGACACTGTGCCTCTCACCCTTGCTGTCAGAGTCTTGTTGGATGAAGCTTTGATGTCCCTTTGATGTCCCCGTCACTTCCCTGCCGTGGCCTTGACTGGGGAAGGCTGTTTGTTATTGTTTCCTTCTGTCTGTACCCCTTCCCTGCTATCCCTGTTGCAGGTCATCAGGGCTTGCGGCTGGTGTGGTGGTGCAGAAGCCTCTGGGGCCCAGCCCTGGTGGGTCTATGGGTTTTCTAGAGATGGCCCCCTGGGGAGCATCTGCCTCAGCTGTGAATGTCACCAGATGGTTTAAAGTCCCTCCTGTGGCTGGGTGCAGTGACACATGCCTATAATCCCAGCACTTCGGGAGGATGAGGTAGGAGGATTGCCTAAGCCCAGGAGGTTACAACCAGCCTGGGCAGCATAGGAAGATCCTATCACTACAACAGATTTCATAATTAGCCTGGCATGGTGGCATGTGCCTGTGGTCCCGGCTACTTAGGAGGCTGAGGTGGGAGGAGCACTTGAGCCCTGGTATTTGAGGCTGCAGTGAGTTATGATTGCACACACTCCAGCCTGGGTAATAGAGCAAGACCCAGTCTCATAAAATTAAAATCTTATCAATCCAGAGAGAATCTATAAGTAAATGTTGGTTTTATCATGATAAAATTCATGTTAAAAAACTTCAAATACTACAGAAATCCCACAATTCCATATCGCACAGGTAACTTAGATCCCTCCAGGTTTTTTTTCTTCCGTTCTATCTGTCTATCTCTCTGTTTTATTCCATCTATCTGTCTGTCTATCCTGTCCATCTGTCTGTCTGTCCATCCAAAATTTTATTTTGTAATACGAAAATTAGGATCATGCTTCACATTAGTTGTGGTCAGCTGAATAATGGCTCCACAGACATATAATACATCCTAATCCGGCCGGGCGCGGTGGCTCATGCCTGTAATCCTAGCACTTTGGGAGGCCGAGGCGGGTGGATCACGAGGTCAAGAGATCGAGACCATCCTGGTCAACATGGTGAAACCCCATCTCTACTAAAAATACAAAAAATCAGCTGGGCATGGTGGCGCGTGCCTGTAATCCCAGCTACTCAGGAGGCTGAGGCAGGAGAATTGCCTGAACCCAGGAGGCGGAGGTTGCGGTGAGCCGAGATCGCGCCATTGCACTCCAGCCTGGGTAACAAGAGTGAAACTCTGTCTCAAAAAAAAAAGAAATAATAATAATACATCCTAATCCTCAAAACTTATGAATGCGAACTCGTGAGACTTTGGAGATGTTGCTAAGTTTAAGATCTTGAGATAGGAAGATTATCCTGTTGAGCCCTAAGTGTAATCCCTAAGGCCCTTCTAAGAGGGAGGCAGAGGATCTGAGGAAGCAGCAGCAGCGATGTGACCGCAGAGGCAGAGTGGAGTGATGTGGCCCCAAGCCAAGAGGTACTGGCAGTTTGAAGAGGCAGGATGAATCTCTTCGAGAGCTTCCAGAGGGAGCATGGTCCTGCTGGTAGCTTGATTCCAGCCCTGAAGTATTGATTTTGGACTTTCGATCCCAGAATCGACAGCATCTTGGAGAGGCAGAAGATGGAGACCACTATGCTGGGCAGAGCTGGGGGAAAGCGGGTGTGTCTTCATGAGAGAACATAGGTTAGTGGCACGTGGGATGAAGGAATAGGGCAGTGATGGAACTGAAACCTGCCACGTCAGGGTTGGCAGTGCCATTGGAGGCACCACTCGCACAATCTTGGCTCACTGCAACCTCCACCTTCCAGGTTCAAGCAATCCTGTCTCAGCCTCCAAGTAGCTGGGGCTATAGGCATGTACTGCAACGCCTGGATAATTAAAAAAAAATTGGGGGCCGGGTGCAGTGCCTCATGCTTGTAATCCCAGCACTTTGGGAAGCCGAGGTGGGTGGATCACCTGAGATCAGGAGTTCAAGACCAGCCTGGCCAACATGGTGAAACCCCATCTCTACGTACTAAAAACACAAAAAATTAGCTGAGAGTGGCAGCAGACTCCTGTAATCCCAGCTACTCAGGAGGCTGAGGCAGGAGAGTTGCTTGAACCTTGGAGGCGGAGGTTGTAGTGAGCTGAGATCATGCCACTGCACTCCAGCCTGGGCAACGAGGCAAGACTCCATCTCAAAAAAACAAAAAACAATTTTGGTAGAGATGAGGGTCTCACTATATTGCCCAGGCTGGTCTCGAACTGCTAGGTTCAAGCAGTCATCCTGCCTTGGCCTCCCAAACTGCTGGATTACAGGCATGAGCCACTGCTCTGTCTGGAGGCCCTGTTTTCTGAGTTGAGGTATATGCGTTCTCAGCAGCAGGGCAGCACTGTGTCCAGGCAGGGGTGACTCGCCCCCACAGAGGGCTACCTGCCAAGAGGGGAGAGTGGTATCCCGGGGTGATGCAGAGGCAGAAGTGCGGGTGCTCAGGATTTCACGTACTGTTTCATGAGGGCTGTGGTGCTGTGCTCTCAGACCTCAGGCCTGAGGTTTCCTCTGGAAGGGGTTTTGGGTGTATTTGTCTGTGTCTCCTGGCATTCAAGCGTCCACAAGAGCAAAGCTGGGAGGTGGGGCACATGGGGGCAGGCCTGGGGCCTTTGGGCATGCAGGGGTAGCATGCTGAGTGACTCCACAGTCATCATTGGGCCAAGGCCATACTGGGGTTTTAGAGTGTTTTGGGAGGGCTGTGCCTCTGCCAGGACATCCAGCTAAGCCCCTGCCCAGCTGGGCTAACCCTATGTTCCCAGCACCCCAGACATTCCCATGCTTGTGGCCCGAGACCGCTATTCTTCAGTGGGAGTCGAGTCAGCACAGGATGGGGAAACGGTAGCACCAAACAGCACAGGGAGCAGTGATAAAAAGGCCACCGCAGGCCAGGCACGGGGCTCACGCCTGCAATCCCAGCGCTTTGGGAGGCTGAGGCAGGCGGATCACAAGGTCAAGAGATCAAGACCAGCCTGGCCAACATAGTGAAACCCTGTCTCTACTAAAATACAAAAATTAGTTGGGTGTGTGGCATGCGCCTGTAGTCCCAGCTACTCTGGAGGCTGAGGCAGGAGAATCACTTGAAGCCAGGAGGCGGAAGTTACAGGGAACTGAGATTGCACCACTGCACTCCAGCCTGGTGCCTGGTGAAACAGTAAGACTCTGTCTCAAAAAAAAAAAAAGCCATTGTGGCCGGGTACGGTAGCTCTCGCCTGCAATCCCAGCACTTTGGGAGGCCTAGGCAGGTGGATCACTTGAGATCAGGAGTTCAAGACCAGCCTGGCCAACATGGTGAAACCTTGTCTCTACTAAAACAAAAATTAGGCGGGCACGGTGGTGCAAGCCTGTAATCCCGTCAACTCAGGAGGCTGAGGCGGGAGAATTGCTTGAATCTGGGAGGCAGAGGCTGCAGTGAGCCGAGATTGCGCCATTGCACTCCAGCCCGGGCGACAGAGACTCAGTCTCAGAGAAAATAAACAAGGCCATTGCTCACAGAAAGGGCCATGTGCTGGCTGTGCTCCACATCCTGGTAAGAGGTAGGGAAGGTGCCGTTCCACGTTAGGGAGGAAGTTTCGGGCCATAGCCACCAGGTGTGTGCTGCATGAGCCTGGGGTCAGCCACTCCAGGCCATGGCCACCCAGGCTGAGAGCTTCTGACAGCTCCCAGTAGGGCAGCCTCAGGCATGGTCCTTGCAGCTTCCCCTCTGCCTGCAGGTTTTCCAGCTTGCAGCTCATCTGGTGTACTGGGGCAAGGCCATCATCATCTACCCACTGTGTGAAAACAACGTCTACATGCTGTCTCCCAACGCCAGTGTGTGTCTGTGAGTACTGCTGGCTGCCAGAGCCTGGAGCCCTGAGTGGGAAGGGGTGAGGCCGGCAAGGCCCTCCATGTGGTGTTCTCTGCATTGACCAGGCACCAAAGGCTGTGGAAGCCCCAAGGCCAGGCTCCAACTTCAGCCTTACTCCAGCCTCCAGCGTGCCCAGGTCCCAGTTCTAGCCCGGCTCTGTGCTGCATGGCTCTCCCTTGTCCGCTGTGCTGGGCCACCTCCTCGAGGCTGGCTCTCCTAATCCACCCTGAGGGATCAGAGGTGACATGCAGGGTGAACTGTGCCCTTGGCTGCTGCTGCTGCTCAAGGGGAAGTGCCCAGGCTCTGCCTGCCTGGATGCCTGCCTGGCTCTGCCGTGTCAGTCACACCGTTCTTCCCTCATTGTCCCGTCCTGGCCCACCTGCCATGCTGTGCTTGCCTGCTGCCCACAGAGGCCAGTGTTGAGAACACAGTGGGGGTCCGCTGCACTCACTGGCATGCTCTCCTGCCTCCAGGTACTCCCCGCTGGCCGAGCAGTTCTCCCACCAGTTCCCATCTCATGACCTGCCGTCCGTCCTTGCCAAGTTCTCCTTGCCGGTCTCCTTGTCAGAATTTAGGAATCCCCTGGCCCCCGCTGTGCAGGAGGTGAGTCACAGAAGCTCAGTGAGCCCAGAGTGGTAGATGCATAGTGGATCAGGCACTACCTGCCTGGCTGTTGGTTCTGATCTGAGAGCCCTCAGCACTGGCACCTGCTTCCCCTTGGTCTTAGAGGCTTGCCGTGCAAGTGCTATGTGCCCAGCATGGCCCAAAAGGCAGCTCCCGGGCCATCTGCAGACACTTGGCCAGTGACCCAACACTTGGGCAGTCATCCCCTCCCCGTAGAGCCCACTCTTGCTGTGGCAGGCAGTTTTTAGGGTTAGAACTGAGTTAAGCTTGGCAGGACAGTGCTTACCTCTTTGGGCCTACAGACCTGCATTGTACCCCTTTGGGTCTGGGGGCTTCCTACAGATGAGGGTGCAAAAGTAGCTGTTTTCACTGGGCCAGGGCCTGACCCTCTGAGAGAGTTTAGCTTCTGCCTTCACTCCCTGCCATAGTGCAGGTGGCCACAGGTCTGTGGGTATGAGTTCTGGGGCCACTAGTCCCCAGAATCTCATCCAAGAGAGCCTAGAGAGGACCCTCGTGGGTCTGGGTCCGGGCAACAGGCACGCAGGTTGGAAGCTAGGAGTGCAGGGGATAGGAAGCCTCTTGCAGGTCTGTGGGATGAACTGGTGCATCTGCATCTGTAGCAGGGCCAGTGGCTTCCCATGTGGGCTGCAGGTGTCACAGCCTTCGTGCTGAGGTGGCTTTGACAGGAGCCAACGAGGCTTTGCCACCCTTCCTTCCACCGAGTTCTGGGCAGAGACCCAAGGCAGGGCCAGATAGGACAGGTGTCAGAGACAGACGAGCTGGGTGTTCTCACGTCTTTGTTTTCAACAGTATTTGACTGAATAAGTGCCAGATTTATTAGGTAAAACCAGTCCGTAAAGTCAAACCCTTTCCGTTCTCAAATTGTGAATAAGATTCTGGTTTTTCAGCTCCTTTAGACGCCAAACCTAAGAGAGTTCTCAGTGTGGTATTCATGGAGCCCTTGGTTTCTGGGAGCTGAGCCAGGTTGTACCTGCTGAATAAAAAGCACTCCGTGCACCCCTCCTCCTGGGCAGAGCTGAGAGAGGACCTGCTGGTGCGCCCATCCCAGAAGCCTCCCTTGGGGTGGCTTTTCCAGGCCATGACTGAGTGGTTGCTCCAGGCCTTGTCAAGGGGCCCAGGTTCTGCCTGGGCTCCAGTGCTGGGAAGCCCCTCGGCTTCATTTTTAAAAAATGTATTTATTTATTTTTTATTTCGTTTTTGATTGTGCTCCAGGGTGGAGTGCAGTGGCACAATCTTTGCTCACTGCAACCTCCGCCTCCCAAGTTCAAGTGATCTCTTGCCTCAGCCCCTCAAGTAGCTGAGATTACAGGTGCCCACCACCATGCCGGGCTAATTTTTGTATATAGACGGTGTTTCACTGTGTTGGCCAGGCTGGTCTCGAACTCCTGACCTCAGGTGATCCATCTGCCTCATCCTCTCAAAGTGCTGGGATTACAGGTGCGAGCTACTGTGCTCAGCTTTATTATGTTTTATTGTTTTGATATAGAAACTTGCTTTCTTGTCTAGGCTGAATTGCAGTGGCATGATCTTGGCTTACTGCAACGTCTGCCTCCCGGGTTCAAATGATTCTGCTGCCTTAGCCTCCTGAGTAGTTGAGATTACAGGCACCTGCCACCATGCCTGGCTAATTTTTGTATTTTTAGTAGAGATGGGGCTTCACCATATTGGCAAGGCTGGTCTTGAACTTCTGACCTCAGATCATCTACCTGCCTCAGCCTCACAAAGTGCTGGGATTATAGGCATGAGCTGCTGTGCCGGCCTCCTCTTTTATTTATTAAATTCACGTAAAATCTGGGTATCTTGCAGTCCTTTTGACCAGGTCTTCTTAGTTGCCTGGGGTATATCCCCCATTCCCATCCCCAGTTCCCCAGCCCCCTCCCAGGAGGTGACTCTGGCCAGCAGCTCCTTGTGGACCCTCCCAGAGATGAGTAGACAGACGTGTATCTGATGACACTAATGCTGTCTCACACTGCTCGCTGCTCAGCATTTGTGTCTGGGCAGTGCTTTCTCACAGGGACTGGACTGTACCCCGCACGAGGCTCCTCACTGTCAGCCCTACCTGCTAATGCAGAAACACTGGAGGGCCTGGCCGGGACATGCCTTCTCATGGTTGGGGCAGGGGGGTGGGGGGGCTCCACCCCCGAGCACAGGGTCACTGGCCTCAGCTTTCTTGTGGCTCCACTCTTGTGCTCAGGGTAGACTTTCAGGTATCCAAGGAGAGGACTTTTTGCTCTCAGGCCACCTGCTCACAGCCTCTTTCTAAACAGTGTCTGGGCTTGTCTGGAGGTAGACTGGCTGGCTGGGTCCAACTGCAGGGCCAGTGGGCTGAAGGAGAGAGAAGAAGGCAGAAGGGCAGCTGCAGCAGCACAGTGTGGGGGGTTTGCTCAGAGAAGGGGTCAGAGAGGGACCTCCACATCTCAGGTCCTGCTCCTCAGCCAGACACTGGGCAGCCCAGGTGTGATCTAGTTGTTCCCCCAGACCCTCTCCCTTCCCGGGAGGGTGAGCTGGCCTTGCAGAGCTGGCTGGCCGCTGGGGGCTCCCTTTCTGAGGAGAGGGCCTTTGTGCCTGGGAATCAGCACAGGGAGTATGCTGTGGCCATGTCTAGGGCTGTGGCTCCCTGATCCCCCAGGAAGGGGTTGGAGTGGGGATGGGGACCAGCCTCACCTGCTGCCACCCACAGACCCAGCTCATCCAGATGGTGGTGTGGATGCTGCAGCGCCGGCTCCTCATCCAGCTGCACACCTATGTCTGCCTGATGGCTTCACCCAGCGAGGAGGAGCCCCGCCTGCGAGAAGACGATGTCCCCTTCACTGCCCGGGTTGGCGGTCGCAGCCTCAGCACGCCCAACGCCCTCAGCTTTGGCTCCCCAAGTAGGGTCCCCAGAGCATCAATCTGGTAGTCAGGGGAGATGCTTGGGAGTGGTGCCCAGGAGGCGCCACATGGGCACTGCTATGGGTGATGAAGTGCCACCACACGGCAGCACACACACATGCACACCCCTCGTGTCCCCTGGGAGACGCCTCTCCTGTCTCCTGGCATCACCATGACTCTGTGGTGGCAGCTCTGCCTCTGGGCTCTTCAGCAGTTTTGCTAGAGTCAGGAGCAGCTCCCAGCCCACCAAATCAATGCTGGAATCTGTGCCCCAGCCAGGGATCCGTGTGGGATCTACACCACAACTGGGACAGCTGACACCTCTGGGTCACCAGAACAGCAGTCATGGCCAGCGTGGCTTGAGAGCAGCAGCCTGTTCCCAGGTCCCAGGTCCTCAGGCTTGGGGAAGGAAGTGGGTGGAAGGCTTTGAAAGTCCTCCCCTGGGTGAGGTCTGGCTGTAGGTTTCATGTTTCATGTGAGGAGCCTGCCTGCCTGGGGTGCTTTGTCCTCCATCCTGGGTGAGGCACAAGATGACCAGGCCCACCTTGGGGTATGTGTGGGGTATACATTACACCTGTTTTGGTCACTTGAAGTTGCCCCCAGAGGGGAGACTACCCATTTCCCAGGTCAGCCGTGAGGGGCATGTCGGGGCATGTGTCACATCCAAGCACACCCAGAGGTGGGACGGCAGCATGTGCTTATAGGTCGCTGTTGCAGCTGGGGCACCAGGCAGGGGCTGTGTGGGCATCACGGGTGTCACTGGAGGCTGGCTGTTGGGTCTGCCCTTGCTGTTCCCCTGGGTGTCCTGGAATTCCACTTGGTGTTGCTGTCACCTGACCCCTGACCCCCACAGCCAGCAGCGATGACATGACCCTCACCAGCCCCAGCATGGACAACTCCAGTGCAGAGCTGCTTCCCAGTGGGGACTCGCCACTGAACCAGAGGATGACAGAGAACCTGCTGGCCAGCCTGTCGGAACATGAGCGTGCAGCCATCCTCAGTGTACCTGCAGCCCAGAACCCTGAGGACCTGCGCATGTTTGCCAGGTGGGTGCAGGTTGACTCGTTGGGACTGGGGCCAATTGGGGCAGGAAGTGGATAGGGATGTACCCAACAAGACCACCAAATCCACTGACAACACATGGGGCCCTGTTTCAGGTGGAGTCTCTGCACTCAGGTGTGTAGGGGCAGGTGCCCCTGCCCAGGCATGGGATGCAGCTTGTCACAAAGACCCCAGGCTGTGGGCCTGGTGTGCCTGTTTTTGGGAGTCTTATCTCCCCAGTACTTCTTAGATGTTTCTTGTCGCTTAAGAAGCAGCACCAAGTTCTCACTCTCATGGGACTTGGCAGGGGTTTGCCCAGGACTCCAAGCCCTGCGGGCATCCAGGATCCCCCACGTTACAGGTGATGCCGCTCAGTGGTCTCTTGTCAGCCCTATCCTGACTTAGGGGGCAGTCTAGGGGCATGGTTTTCTGGGAGTGGTCAGGTTGTCAGGGACTAAGCTCCCTGTTAAAAACCAGCCTCCAGGCCCTGGAGAGAACCACTTGCAACTCTTCTAAGCAGCTGGTCCACGTCTCACCTACATCCTAGCCTCCTTTGTGCCAACCTCAGTTGCAGAAACCACCCTAAAGCAGTGACCTTCCAAATAATGGTGACATTAAAAATATATCATTGCCGGGCGTGGTGGCTCAAGCCTGTAATCCCAGCACTTTGGGAGGCCGAGGCGGGTGGATCACGAGGTCAAGAGATCGAGACCATCCTGGTCAACATGGTGAAACCCTGTCTCTAC